AACTGCAGCAGGAGAGATAGGAGCGGCGGGCAAAAAATCAGAAGTAAAAGTATCGGTAGGAGTGACGGAACGGCAAGAAGTGTTAAAAATTGATTCAAAATGCGTAGCAAATTCATCAGCAATGTGTTTGGGGTCAGTGACAACCTGATCACCAATTTTCAGCTGAATGAAGGAGTTATCTTTTCTTTTGAAATTTGAAACGTATTTCCAAAAATGCTGAGGGTGAGTTTTAAGACTGTCATCAACAGACTTTAACCACCGCCGCCTATCAGACCTGATGGTAGCCTTAACTAATTTACGAAAGTGTGCAAAGTAGGAGTAATGTACATCAGAGTTGGTCTTTTTAAACCGACGAAAATAATGATTCTTTTTATTGATGTAATGTTTTAAGGTGCCGGAAAACCAGATAGGAAATTTAGACTTACTAGAATGCTTATGGGGAATAGCTAAGTTTAAAGCATCAGTAACCACCGACTTGAGCTGATAAGCGGCGGAGTCCGCAGAGGACTGATTGTATACGCAGGACCAATCGTAAGAGGATAAATACCTATAAAGTAATAAATAGTCAGCACGCGCGTAATTGCGGGAACATCGAGAGGGCTGTGAATTGGTGGTCAGAGATATATTTCTAATATCAATAACCAGGGAAGGATGAAAAACATCAGGTTTAACCAAATCGTGATCAGAAATCGTGACGTTTACAGAGGAAAAGTTAGCAAAGACAAGATCGAGTAGATTTATGTTTTGGATGGTAAGGTTGTGTTGAGAAAGTCCGAGGAAGCATGCGGCACTGTGAACGACATCCCCTTTAATTTTGGTACAGTAATGTGAGTTTGCTTGAGGGAAGCCATGTGCCCAATCAAAGCCAGGTATATTAAAATCACCTAAGAGAACTACCCGATAACATAGAAATAAAAAAAAAAGGAGGTTGGGGAAAATTTAGTATCGAATAAATATAAAAGTAAATTTACAACATATATACAAAACTATATTTGAAACCAATATCAGGCATGAAGAATGACAGTGTCTGTACATGTAGACAAATCTTCGCTTGTGCAGGGAGAATCTAAGATGTGGCAAGCCAGGAGGTGATCCATTGTCTGTGTTTGTCCACAGGAACACTGGTCAGACACACAAGGATATCCCCACCTCATTAAGTTTGCCGCACACCTGCCAGTATAGGAACGGAGTCTGTTTAAAGTTTTCCAGGTAGGCCAGTCTAATTCAGAACCTGGAGGAAGGACTTCCTTGGGTTCTAGGCCCAGAAGGTCCTGGGTGTCTATTTCATCACTTCTTATTTTCCATAGCTTGGTTCTTTCATCTTTCTGGTTCCCCTGGAGTGGTGAGGTTCTAGCAAGGAAATTCGTTCCTTCTAGATATGAGTCTTTGGTTTGGGAGAATTTGCCCATGTAAGGGGTGTCTTGGGTGCATTGGAATATAAATCATGCATACAAACAATCGAATAATAGATTTTTGGTTACAGGATCAGGTGATTGAACTGTGGATAATCCACAACATTTGCAAAGGCTTCAGATCACATGGAAATAACCTGGATACAGATGATACCAAGTTCTGAAGACCCTCAAAAAATGATATGATGCTTTCATATAAGAAATACCATAAGCACAGTACAGGAAGTCAGGTGTACAAGGGTGGCACTGAACCAGAAATTATACATTCTTCTATGGAAATGTAAATGCTTACGAGGAACCAGACCATGCAACTGATCATTTCTTTAAGTACCACATAAACATTTTGTTAGAGGACTTCAATGTGAAGTTGGGGAGGGAAGAAACTTTGAAACGAACAATTGGGAATGAGAGTTTATATGAAACTAGTAATGCCATTGGCCCCACTTAATGGTACCTGCACCTTGTCGTGGTGATGGGGCTTCAGTACCTCAGTGATCCCAAGAGCTATGCTGGCGGTAGCATAGCGCCTGGTAGGGCCTGCCTAGCCAGATTGGTCGAGGGGGAGAGGTCAGACTAAGACAGGTACCCTGGTCCTCCAGGTTGGGGGTTGGTCGCAAGGCAAACAACCTTGCACCGTAAAAAGGAATATGTTTTGAAACCTCAATCAAAGCCTCAGACAGACAGACCTAACAGAAGGCAGCGGAGGATAGGACCGAATGGAAGAGGAGAATTGAGGTGGCCATGGACCGAATATGGACCGGAGAGCCATAGAAGAAGAAGAAGAAGAAGTAATGACATTGGGGCTAGAGTAGTAAACTGTGCCACATCAAAAAATCTAGCTGCCATGAGAACAATATTTCCCACCACAAATTCATCTGGACCTCTCCTGACGGCAAAACATACAATCAGACAGATCACATCATAGAAGATGACAATCAAGCATACTTAATGTCTGATCTTTTTAGAGGGGCTGACTGTGATACTGACCACTATTTGGTGGTTGCAAAACTTAGAAAATGGCTTTCAGTAAATAAACAAGAAACACAAAAGTTTGGTGCAGAGATATGATCTCAGGAGGATAACACTGCAGAAGTTATGGAACAGTATCAGGTCAAAATCTCAAATAGGTTTGCAGCTTTGGAAAACTTAGATAATAATGTGGACCTCAACAGAGTTTGGGAAAATATTAGAGACAATATTAAAATCTCAGCCAAAGAGAATGTAGGGACTGGTTGAAGGTTCTTCTAAACATGATAATAAACATTTGGGTGGCACAAAATGCGGAGAATTTCTTGACTAGCTTCTCAAGAAGGATTCTACTCCATGGTAACAGTCACTTAATTCAAACTGTAGAGATTATCAGTGGTATATATTATATATCACTTAATGACTCAGAAGAAGGATTACGAAGTGACTTGGTTAGTGTGTAAGGCTTTGTATGGAGTTAGTCATGGCAATATATTATCTTTGGCATATACCTGAAGAGACTTAGAAAAGCCATGAAAAATATCATGGATAGCCAGTAGTGTGACTTGAATTGAACTAGGTACCTCCCGAATGCGAGTCAGGTGTGTTAAGTGTCAAAAATAAGCTTGACCTTCAAAACTTTTCTTGTTACAAGAATAAAAAGCTTCTTGTTGTCTATTGGCTCATATCATTATGGCAAGCAGCTTTAATTTATGTATTGCAAAATGACTGGTAAGTAAGGAGAGACTGGGAAAAATCATGAAACGTCAGTCAGGATGATAGTAGTAGCACAAGATGTGGCATTCCAAATTGTATTACTAACAGCTATTGAAGCAGACTGGAATCTATAATGAAAATTAGACACAAACTAACATTCATATCAATAAATAAAATGAATAATCTTAAAAGAAGTAAGAACTTGAGGTCAATGCAAGAAGTATATGAGACTGACCTCTGCAGTTGCCTGTGCCACAAGATGCTCCAAGAAAGTTACAGTCATGCCACTTTGTAACAGTCGAATGTGATCTGCATCAGGATGGAAGTACTGGTGTGTGTTAGCTACAATAATTCTCTCATTTGAATCATCCACACTATCCAACACCACAAACTGAAACCATTAACAATGAATTTTTATGTTAAAATGACAAGCTAAATATGATTAATCTTCTACTTATAAAATAAAACCAAATTCCTTCTTCACCAATCCATCAGTTTTGTACATATATTGAAATACTAAATTTGAACAAAAACAAGGTAAGTTGGCACAAAAATATAACCTTAAAGTTTTAATACAGTATACTATACTACACTAAAAATTCTTCAGCTGAGAAACAGCCATACATACAAATAAGTTCCCAATCCTTCCTCCATGAAGTAATTTTCCCTCTTGAAGATTGCTGTCTTCATACTCACGGCCATGAAAACCTCAAATCCTACATAAATTGTCACTCTTCTTTCACATGTTTCCTCTGTTAATCTTGACGGATCACTCTTCATCAACACAGAGACGAACAAAAAGTGACAGTGGAACTGTGTACTCCTAAAACTGACACATACTTTCCAAATTTCTTCTTTGTGGCTCTGAATACTGCATTTGTCTTGATATTAATTTGTTGCAAAACCATGCACAATCTTCCTTTATATTCTGGTAAATATGCATCATATTGAAAAATGTTTCAAATAAAAGTTGTAGATTTTAACAAGACCAATATTTTACATCATTTAATTATAATTTTTTTATAAAGTAATTTTTAAGAAAACTAATACATGGTCTGAGTTTCATGTAAAGTAGTGACTTACTGACTGCCACATATCAACAATTTCCTAATTTTCCTTCATGTTCAGATATGTCAGGTAGACATTCTATCCGACATATCCGTATGCACGAATTGAAGACCAACTGACTTTCTGATTTATACACCATTTGTATTCACCTGTTCACAGAGTTTGAACACTGAAATTCTGTGACTGGCTGGTCAGAAAATCTTGACATCACCTCACTCGCTTACACTAAAAATTTCCTGGTCCAAGTACAAAAGGTGAGAATAAATATTCAATATTCAGCTTATAATCCGGGACATTCACTTTTTGCCTTGTCCAGAGATAGGGATTAGCTCTATCAATTGGGCCAAACAGAGTAGGTATACCTGAAGACGGAGATAGGGTCCCATCTCCAAAACTTCGTGCAATTTTATGACTTTATTAGACGATGAAAAACATCCAGAAAACAATTTATTTTAAGAAAAGTACACATCAGTCATGAAGCAGAGGGAGAAAGCAGTATAAGAGAAATCTGTGATCACAAAGCTGGTCAGTACCAGCACTGACATTGAGGATTTGGGCACAAAAAACATCCAGCTCCTGTTGTAAGCTTATGAAGCTTTTAAATGCATGAGTCATACGCAAGGTAGTGTTTCTGGTAAAACAATGGCATGAAACTGCTGTGCACTGATCAACAGACTCCAGCTACCACAGAAGTACATACTGTCAAAATGTCAAATGAAATTGCAAAAAATAATATAGATGAAGGACATACAAGAGGGTACTGCATTACACTGATATAAACCACAATTCAATTAATCTAACCACGTTTAGTGTGGAACCCCAACAACAAATTCCACTGAAATCTGTTCAGCAACATTATACAGTTTATGCACCCTTAATTCATCAAAACAGATGAAACATATATTTTTATGATTGGAAGTGTTTCAAACAAGATGTGATAAGTCCAAAATGATCATGCCAGTCATTTACCTCAGAACAGGTTGTCCTCTCAATGATTCGACTTACAAGAGCTTCATAATCTTTTACTTTATTCCAGATATCAGCAAATAATGGGTTTGATTTCAATTCTTCAGCAAGATGAATGTTATGTGATGACACACACCTAGAAATGTATCATCTTTAGATAAAATTTCTAATTTTATATTAAATTAATTTAAGAATATAATAATAACATAAAGCTGAATAATCTGTTCACTGCCGCTAACAGAATACATAGTGGATATTACAACAATACATTAAGAACAACTACAAAAGAAGAAAGAGCAAAAATGGAATAAGAGGGACAGTCAAAAAGTTCCTGGAATTGTGGTATAGCACTGTAATGGTAGGACATATGGCAACGCTTACCTAATCACCTTCAAAGTAGGGCCCTTGTGCACACACACACACACTTGCTCCATCGATCCTGCCATTGTTGGAAGCACCGGAGGAAGGCTTCGTTTGGAATCTTCCAGAGTTCGGCAGTCGCATTCGACACCTCGCTGGTTGTGCAGCAATTCCTTGCCGAGAAAAGCATTCCTGTCATCACCCAACTACCATACTCTCCGGATCTCACTCCGAGTGACTTCTGGCTGTTCCCTACTCTGAAAATGGGCCTCAAGGGGATGTGTTTCGCAACCATGGAGGACATCAAATCGAATGCGACGGCTGAACTCCGGGATAGTCCAAACGAAGCCTTCCACCGGTTCTTCCAACAATGGCAGGATCGATGGAGCAAGTGTGTGTGTGTGCGCAAGGGTCCTACTTTGAAGGTGATTAGGTAAGTTTTTCCAAATGTCCTACCATTACTGTGATATACCACAATTCCGGGAACTTTTTGACTGCCCCTCGTATATCAATATGTATACTCAAGAAAAAACAAATGGCCAATATAATCTCAAGAACTGTATGTAGCAAAACAAAACAATAAAGTTATAACCAACAGCTTTGATGTAAACAAGCAACACTAATAATTTTTACTGCATTTTTAACCTAGATGTAATAAATGATAAAACAAAGAAATTTTATGGTATATTCAAATGAATGATTCTATTGATGAGTAAATAACAAGAGCAGTTAATGGGAGATATTATGTAAATCAACAGTCTCTTTTTTCAAAACATGCTCCTGATTATGAGCAGATATGCTTGAAACATGCACAGCATAAACCTGAATGCAAAGAATTTGTTGTATTAATGACAATCAACACATTAATCAAGCCTAGTCCTTTGCATTCAGTCATTATACCAACAATACTTTCATTAATGCATTGTCAATGCTCAGGGACTTTTCAGTCATTCCATATGAAGACATCAAAATTTGGAGAGGACAAAAAACATTACACTTGGTTAGATTCTCTCTCTAGTTTACACACATCACAGAAGTAATAACTTACTTAAATCTTGATTTATGAAAAATGCATGCTAATCCTTCTGAAACAGCTCCACCTTTCTTATGAAATACACCACTATATCCTACAGATGACAAAGTGGGAATTAGGTCATTAGAAAACACCTTGTAATCTACTTCTTGCAGGCAAATTATATCAGCATTATAACCTGCAAAAAATAGAAAAAACAAACATATTAGTGCAATTATGATAGGTTTGTAAGAGGACTGAAATGAAATTATAATAACTACAAAATGAAGTTCAGTAAAAGTCTCATATCAGATGCAAAAACCAATAAGGCCAGCTCATGTGTAACAAAACCTGAGCCATCAGTACTATTACAGACTTACCTAACAATTCTTTCAGAATAAGCTGCTTTCTGTAATCTATGCTAAGTGCATAGGGTGGGCAATATGGATACAGCTGTTTGCGTGACACCTCAGAGTCAGCATATAAATCAGCAAGGATATTGTACGACACAACTCGGAACCTGGACAAAGAACCAGATTAGGTTATGAACTTTAAAAAAGAAAAATCCAAACACCCTGCAAAGAATTGAATCCTGGCACCCAGCCTACCTTAATAAAAGCCTACTTTCCTTTTTTTATGAGGTAGGACAGACTTACGGTATCCTTAGATTTGACTGTCACGGTTTCTATTCCTCCCACACTCATGGATTCTTAACCAAGATGACAGAGTTACATGAAACATCATGTCAGTAGAGGCCACTCTCCTTTATGCTATCCAATTAATCAATACTATTAACATGGCGACTGTGTCTATTTTTGTGGAGTAGGCAAGAGCAACACCGCTCTATTTGGGTCCTGAAATTTGATGTATTTAGCTTCCAGTTTTATGGTAATAAATAAGGAATCATTGACAATTGGCACATGAAATACTGCCATATACATAACTAAAATTCCAGTATAAAACTCCATTGTTGTTAACAACTACAAACATAACAACAGAACATAACTTTTAAATGATACTGGGACAATTTTATATAGTCATAATCTGTGATACAGCAACATTAAATACAATAAGAACTGTAAGAATCAGCCACCTTACATATCATTCTCCAAATCTAACCTGATGTAACCAAGAAAACTGCATGGGACCAAAACTTACCCTGGAACATGGGATAACTTATGCCTTAATTTACACTTTAATGTGCTTCGCAAAACATCTGTCAATTTTAAATATTGGAAACAACTCTACAATACAGTGGTCAATATACTAAAACACAACAATTTTTCATAGTGCCTGTACAAATTGCCAGACAGCTACTCCAAAGTAAGCTTATGGATTATATACCAGTTAAAAATGCTTTAACTTCTGCTACTGTACTTCAGGGGTCTGAACAGGCCAGGGCCTAGCACTTGGTCCAATCAAACCTGAGCTTGACAGCCAGCACTAAAAGAGTATTTCCCATCACACACCTACTCTATAGAAGAATTTACCTCAACCAAAAATTTTCATCTATTATAAATACATGGAAGTAATAGTGGGTATGCTTTCTTGTGTAATTACTTTTGCAATAATACTGTAGTTTACTGTCATAACTACATAATTTATGTTTATATTACAAACAAGTATTGTATTTGTGCTATGACATGTTGTACATCCCTGTCTTGAGCCTATGAAGAATCTATGGAACATAAATAAATTCTCTTCTATCACATGAAACAAAAGATACAGAGAAACTATAACATAATTATCATAGTTAAAACCTCAATAAAAACATGTTTTCACTTTGATTCCCTCAGTAGCTTATAGTACAAAGACCCCCAGTTCAATGCTATTTTATTAATTGAAAGAGCAGTTGACTGCATACTTCACTAATATTAATAAATACAAATCATTACAATTATAAACTTTAAAATGTATTTGTTATAAGTTAAAAAAAAGATTATAAAAATGTTTACATGCACTTACTTTTGTCCATTAAGCCATTCCTTTGTAAATGCATGTCTCAACTCAAATGGACACGCACCTGGTCCTGCTTCAACAGGATTTGTCGATACAACTTCAGATATAGGGCCACATACACTCCCATTTTGTGGTACACAAACCAACTTCAGAAAGCAACCTATGTCACTTATACTGGGTACAAAATAGTAGCCAGATCCTACTTCAACCCAGTTTGCTGGTACTTTTTTCCCAACTGTAACACTGGTATTCTTATACCAACAAAAACTGCAATCAGATTTATCAGCAAATAATACTTCTAGTTTTAATGGATAAGCAGGAAACCCTGCCATTATGCTACTTGGAAGTGTGATCAAAGCAACCCATGGTGCATTTAAGATTACAGAAAAAACTGTATCCAGTATCTGAAGACATAATCCATTATCAAATAGGATGTCCTTACATGCTTGATCACCAGAAACTACCTCTCCACCATGCAATAAATTGACGTGGATTTTGCTAGATTCTTCTTCTTGTTCCTTCTCACAGGTCCCTTTCCTCTTTTTCTTTTTATTTGCATTTCTTTCAATACTGCTGGTTATTCTAGCTAGAAAGTCGTTTACTTTTTCCGACAACTGTCTACTGAAATTAAATTGGCGATCAACTCCAAGCAATTCATTTTTTAGTTGAAAAGACAACTGAAACTGGTCTGCCCCATCCTGGTAACGAATGTAGGCATTCTGCATTTTCTGACGTGTTTCAAAAAATCGTACAGGAAAAACTGCCAAGCGCGTGTTCACCAATTTCAATACAGACTGTAAGCGCATGACACACATACATCAACACTCACATACGTACAGTACTGTAGCTACAAAGACTGCTTAAATCATTCTCATTTAAGAAATTTAACATCGCAGCATTCCTAACAATTTCCCAAAAACGTTTTCTCCTTCTAACCTTACGTTTACACAAGCACCAAGCATTTCAATCTACGTCCCAATTCGGCAACTCATCTGTGGAAATTGTAGCAGTTCTTACTACAGATATTTCAACCACTGAATACACAGGTGATAGCACACAATCTACAGTTAATAAAACTATTTTTCCTAATATGTATGTGGTCGAAGGCAGCAGTAGGTAGTTCCACACGTTCTCAAAAACAAAATAGAAGAAAAAGTTTCCGTGGTTAAAAAGTACACCAAACCAAACCAAAGTTCTCATCGCTCTGATGATAATGGCAGTAAAAGCCTTTGAAACGACGGTAAACTGGTATCAAACTACACTGCATAACAGCTCGGAAGTCAGCCATCGCCACCGGCAGAATCTGAAATTTCACGTCCGAATATAAATTATTCATTGAATACAGATACCATCTGGTAAACATCAAACAGTTCGGCCTCTCAACCACTGAGTTGGGTACCATAATTTTTTTATTTATTTTTTTACCGTAGCTTGTGGGCGTTTGAAACGTGACTTTCAAAAGTTGACATTTTATCCTCCATATCTTTTGCTCCTTCGTAACATTCCCGGCAACTGAAAATAGTTTTATTTGCATGCGTTTTTACACACAAAACGCCATTTTCTTTGTTCAGATTCCGTCACCTACTTGCATATAAAATTATACGTGTGAGCTATCTGTAAATAGGCTTCTGGAATGAAAGAACTGGATAGGTCTCATAGTTTCTTTTGACTATCAAAATGCTAAGGGGTGCATTGTGCACTTACAAATGATTCAGTTTGAGAGGTCATTCATAATTCCATTTGAATGGATGCTTAACTTATAATCAGGTACTTTTGAGATGCCACATGCTGTTTAAAAAACAGTATAATGCCTGTTACTTACAAACTTTAAGAAAGTGCACTAATCGAAAGACAGATATTATATAAAATTCTCACTGAATTCAGTATACCCACAAAACTAGTTGGGGTAAATCAAACATGTTGAAATGCATATAAAACATATCTGATAGTTCCTGGTCTAAAACAAGATGCTTTATCACCACTGCTTAGAATAAGCTAATAAAGGAGTTCCAAGAAAACAAGAGTTATTCAGACTGAATGATATACATCAGCTTTTCATTTGTGCCACTGATGTTAATTTGCAGATTAAATCTAGTGAATGCTTGCTTACCATGAGGTTCAGAATCTTTTTTCTTCCCTTCCATTACCTAAAATTGCAAAGATTAAAATATACAAAATTACAGTATAATGTTATCATCCTTTTGAGATCAGGGTACTGAGGAGAATGTACAGTCAAAGAGGCTGGACAAAATTCCATATTAAGGAGTTTCATGACATGTATACTTTATCAAATATTATAATTTTGGGGGATGAGACAAGTGGGGCATATGACATGAATGGGAGAGACAAAAAGTGTATATAGAGTTTTGGACAGACAACCACTGCCACTAATCAAGAAAACAAAAACAATAAAAATATGCATCAGTATAATGACAACCAATCACCCAAAGATGGGAGTGAAGAATGTCAAGTATGAAATATAGTTCACACAACAGACAAAATCAATCATAACTGTAATTGCCTGCAAATACCTAATAGGTGCTTAAATTTCAAATCTGTAAAAGAAGCATGCTTAAACAATTTATAAAATTACAGAACAGCCTTTCCCCTTCAATTGAAATAAATAAATGTAACACAATGAAAAGTAAATAATCTATGTAGCTTACTTGAAGAAAATGGAGTGTTACTTTTCACAACATTTATTAAAACAAAAGTTGTATAATAACTACAGGACTCTAAATTTTTTTTCAATTATAAAGATCTCGGCTGGAACGTAGAAATATTATGCAGATACAGTTTCTACCATGGTTTTCTTAATTATTTCACCGAAGTTTTCATCACAATCATCTGTGCCACCTGAAGAAGCAGAACTGGAATTATTTTCATTTTCACCAGTCTGACTTTTGCTCCCTTCCACATTTATACTGTCCTGCCTTAATTCAGAATCACCATCACTCGCTGTTAACTGCTCTGTTGAAGCTTCACTGCTACTGTATGTGGCAGATGGACCATGTATGGTGGAGGAAGAGTCGTCAAACGCAGCACTAGGACCAGATGTTCGAGCAGTCGCCATATATGAATACCTTCCATGTAGAAGCTCAGAAAAGGGTTCCAACTTATTACTCATGGGGCACACTGGGTGAAGGTTGGTGTAGTGACTGTGTACAATACTGGTGCTAATGACAGACTTCCCAATGGGATCCTGGCCACCATAGTTCTCCCTTGGATCTCCTATCATAGAAAAACCTTCATAAGAATTGCTCCCAGTACCCAATAATGGCTGTGGCCTTTGATGGAATTCTCTACCCTGACCAGGGTTATTTAACATACTGTCACCCCCTAATCCTTCACCTGTGACCTTGCTTGTGAACTCATGACCATACACTCCACTGTAATGTCCAAAGTTTTCCGTTGTTGGAACAGGATGGGGATTGGAAAAAGTAGAGAATCCAGAAGAATACTGATACTTAGAACTGGTCTCATCTCCATATGTTACACTGGTAGCAGCTGCAGATGGAGTGGTCTGTTGCTGATAGCTAGAGGTATTAGTGTCAGGGAATCCTGGTCCAGCCAAAAGTCCGGTAGAGGAACTGGTAAATGGCCTCCCACCTACATTAGATGGTTGACTGAAATGAAAACCAGGAGTCATGCTAAATTCTTGATGTTCATTCAAATGGCCCTTTCTCCCTTGCTGTATAGAGGTACTAGGATGGTGTCCAGAGAAGTGGTTATGATCTACATTGCTGTTACTCTCCAGCTGGTCAGCTGATAATTCGTTGCTGTTTTCCTCTGAATAGCATTCATCTCTGAAAGCGTAGAGATCCAACGAATCTTCACGAGCAGGTAGATCTCCTACCATCCCTGAGAAACCAGCTGTATTTCCACCTGGCATATCTGAACCACTGACTGCAACATCAGGCCCATCTGAACTGCCATAGTGGAGATTTGTAAAGCTGCCAGCATGGACACAAGACTCAACTTCAATGCCAGAACCAAGACTTACATCTCGCAGAAGACTGCCATTAAACTTTGGTACCACTGCCAAGCTGTCTATGGCACCTTTCCCTTGCTCATGGTACGATGATGTTGATGGGCCGGACAGTCTGTCTTTCTCATCCCAATGAAGATGTCTGTTTGAATTTTGATCCTGTTTGGCTGACACATTTCTTCCACCTTCTTCCTCTCCCTCCTCTAGTTTCTGTTTCTTTTCAAGCTCTAGCCTCATTAATGTGTGGATGAAGTGGGTGCGGACTCTAACAGGATTGAACTCGATGCGGCCACTTGAGTTAGCACAGCCATCGCGGGTACATCCACAAGGAAAATTCAGGCGATCTACCTATAAAAATTAGAACAAACATACTCAGTCGTATCACATTAGTTCTTACATCACATCATTTGTTGAGAGTTTGGAAGGTGAAGCTATTATGATAGTATTAAAAAGAGTCTTGATAATAAGCACATTGACCATATATGGGATGAAATTAATATTCCTTTTACCTTTATTATGTGGTAACACCAGATTTAAACCCCAGGACTATGAGGGCTGTTGGCTGGACTTTAACTCCAAGATTATCTGTACAGTGGTATATAAAATAAGCAAACAAACAAACTATTAACACTATAAAAAAGACACTATTGCCATACGCGTTTCAACCTCAAGAGATCATATCAAATCTAAAACTTCTTGACGATGGTGAAGAGTCAATTGAATAAAAATTTACTTGGATATTATCCATCGTCTAGTAATAAAACGTAAAACGACGTTTCGGAGATGAGGCTCTATCTCCGTCTTCAGGTTCCTACTCAGTTGGGCCCACTAGATAGAGCTAATCCCTATCTCCGGACAAATTAAAAAGTGAAAGTCCCAGAATAAAAAGGCCTAACCACACCATCCATCCGTGGGACGTAAAAGAATAAATAGTAGAAATAAAATTCGTTAAACACGATAAAGCCAAAAGACACAAACTCACAAAAAGTGGGAATAAATACACAAGAATATTAACTTGAAACTCGATGCCCACCTTGGATTTCTTGAGAGATGACAGGTATCCAAATAGGAGATAAATCCAAACTAGGTTGGCTGATAGGATTGGCGAGTAGTGCCATGTGTGCCGCCTCCTTGTATTTTCTGTAGATGGTATTGGGTTCAGTTAATAATACTCTGGCCCCATCCCAACAAACATGATGATCTTCTTCGTACGCATGTTGGGCCAATCTGGATTTCTCCAGCAGGCCCTGTCTGAAATTATATTTGTGTTCTTTCAATCGTACCTCCAGAGGTCTGTTGGTTTCGCCGATATACCATCTACCGCAATCACATGGTATTCCATACACACACTGCCTAGTCTGTCTCT